TATCTTCATACGGTTTGCCCACTAACTGTCTAATATCGTGTCCCTAGACTCTGTTAGCTAATATTGAAGCCTAACAATTAATTTAAGTTAATAGTTCAGAGTAGCATACATAGGAGGTCCGAATGATAAGGCCATCGTTGGTTAATTGCAGCATTAATTATCGTACATACATTGTTTTGGGGTTTGTTTGTTTGTTTGTTTGTTTTTTTTTTTTTTATAAAAAAAAACATTTATGTTACACCGGTTGTTTAAAACTGCTAGGGCTAATAATAATTCGATTTAGTAATAATAATAATAATATTATTATTATTATTATTATTATTATTATTATTATTATTATTATTATTATTATTATTATTATTGTTATTATTATGGTAGTTGTTATCAGTGGATTGAAAATGCACTTGCCTAGCATAGAATTATTATAAAGACACTTTATGTATTTATTTACTATATTTACTTATTTTAAATACAATATTATTTTATATACAATTCAATAATATGCATATTTCATTGAACATAATTATAACCTGCGGGTATAAGTACGATTGACACGAATAAATTTCATATTTGTAACAAAAGCAGTATCAGCAGCATACAGGACCTGAGCAGAAATTGTGTTTTTTAAACCTAAAAATACAAATCATCATGCAAAACTTACCCTTATTATTATTAATATTATATATATTATATAATATTTTATTTTCAAAAGTAAAGTGCGTTTTTCATGCCTATGGGCTCATCGATTCATTGAAAAAAGTATACGTACGGTATGCAACTATTTAATTTCTTTTTCTGTATGTATACACATAATAAGCCTAGGCCTATTTACTGTAATAAGAATGAGAAAATTTACCTGACCGTTTTCAAGAGGGGGAAATCGTTGAATTTTGAAGAACTTAAAAGTTATTAAATGACACCTCAGAATTCAGGAAAGCTCATTTCCCGCCATCTAGGAATCAAATTTTCCAGGACCCCCTTTCATTTTTGGGATTTGGAAACATTCTGACCCCCCTCCCCTAAATTTGAGCCCAGATCCGCCCTAAAAATAGTAACACCAATATGTTAATAGTAACGAATCATTACAGTTTTACAGAATAACTTACTGCCTGGGATTCTATCAGAGGCTATGTTTTATGAAGTCATATTAAACAAATACAGAGAATAATAACCGATAACAGTGCTCGAATATGATACATTCTGATGTTTTATATTACAGTATATACTTATCAAGCATAGCTCTTAAAAGAAAATTATTTTTTGTTTCAGTTGCTTGAAAAAATAAAGTGGATGGCAGATCAAAGACAACCATACAATATTGGCACAGTCTAACCCAAAACCTAAATAATTTCTATCCTTCAATCCAGTGAACATACAAGTGGCTTTTGCGCTCACACATAGTGGCGTTACAGTCACAGCTGAGAAAACATACCGTAGTGAATAATATTAATAAATAAATAAAAATAAATATTAGTAATACATAAACAGAGCTTGAAACGCAAATTCAGTTTTTCAGTTGCTTGGATAATTTTTCTCTGGTAGGAACAAATTCA